CCGAAATCGAAGTCCGGGAGGCAGAGGTGGTACTTGGGAAAGCCGCGAGGGTTGGGGGGGAGTTCCCCTGCTTGGACCTGCTCTTCCTCCAGCTTCCTCTGCCCTGTGCCAGGGCCAGGCTCTGCCCGGGGCCAGCTGATGCTGAGGACGCCAGGAGCCGTCCCGAGGCGGGGACCCAGCTCCTGGCCGCAGCCGCCGGGATCACCTTTAGCACCTCCGGGGCCGCAGGTGAGCTCGCTGCATGAAGGCAGCACAAATTCCCCTCCCCGTGCCGCCGCAGCCCAGCCGAGGGGACTCTCTCGTGGCACTGGCCCCTCCCCGGGGTTTGCCACCCGTTAACCCGGCACCGCCAAGCCCACCACTAAACCATGTCCCTAAGTACCACATCTACGCGGCTTTTAAATACCCCCAGGGATGGGGACTCAACCACTTCCCCAGGCAGCCTGTTCCAGTGCTTGACAACCCTTTCTGTGAAGAAATTTCTCCTAATATCCAATCTAAACCTCCCCTGGCACAGCTTGAGCCCATTTCCTCTTCTATTGCTTGTTCCTTGGGAGAAGAGCCCAACACCCACCTTGCTACAACCTCCTTCCAGGCAGCGGTAGAGAACGGTAAGGTTTCTCCCTGTGCCGCCTAGTGCTGACACGCTCCCCGGGGACACGCTTTATGGGGTGTTCTGCAAAACGCACGCTTTTTGGGTTTTTGGCTCGCTGTGGGCAACTTCCTTCCCATCCGAAGGAGCTTCTGCAGGCTGCTGCACAGTTGCCCGAGGATGCGTTTTGCTGTAGTTTTAGCTGTAGGGCTATTGCTCTAGACCTAGTTGAGTGTGGCAGGAAAAAAGTAATTCTGTGTGTATATATAAAAATATATATATATGCATGCACACATACATACACATCTGGAAGATGCTGCAGCCTGGCTTCTGCTGCTGTTGTCCCTCGCCCTCCCGACAGCTGGCGCGGCGGGGAGCACTTGGTCACCTCTGGGATGCGGCTCAACCTTGAACCTGACCCCAATGTCAGCAG